TTTCCAGATTCTAGAATGTTCTTTCATCTTAGTGTCATCAGCCCTTGAAGATCAAGCAACTGCACAAAAGCTGCAGCAGAAACCTTCCCCCGGCCCCGTGTGTTTCCAGCAGACGCTGTAGCTTCGGCCCTCAGCCCCCCGGGACACCGGCTGCTGCTGCGGGACGGCTGGGTGGGACCCACGCGACACTGGCCTTCGTGTCCCCGCCTGGGTCTCTCCCGAGCTGGTTGTTGCACGAGAACCGTGACATTATTGAATGAGTTTCAATCAGGGTTTAGGTGTAGGAAACAAGAGTTTTGGGCCTTCGAAACAAATGTTTTGAACCTTGGGCAGCGGAACATGTAATGGTGTTTTCTTAAGCTCTGTAATGGAACCCTTTTGTGTGTTAATTGCTCGAAGTTATTTTGAGTGGAAATGTCAGGGTGCCATAGGAACTCAAACCATCGGTCCGAGCCCAACCAGGACTAACCACGAGGCCCACGTGTGGTGCTTCCTGTGTGACCGGGCTTGGGGCTTCCTCTGCGTGGCCTCCTGTCGTCTGTCAGTGGAACTGTGAGGGCCTTGGCTGGGCTTGAGGTCTAGGTGGGGACCTCACAAGGAGACACAAAAGAAAGTGTGCTTAGTACCTAGGGGAAGACTAAGGCCAAGGCAGGGATCGGTTCTTTTTCCTTCTAAGAGACTAAGCCAAAAGCTCATCCATGGAAGGACTCCCAAAACCTCCTTTCATGCCTCCCCCACAGATGATTTGCTGAATGCTCATTAAGGGGAAAACAAAGAGGTGGTTTTGTTTATTTATTTAAGAGGAAAAATAAATGAGCTGTGACAAAACAATTTGAAACCAGGCCCCTCTGAGACCTGGGCTTTCACTTCCTTGATGGGAAGTAAAACAGAGAATCGAATCCCCCTCCAAATAAAAGTGAAGTTAATAATCAGACAGCTCAAGCCCAGGCCACATCCTGTGTCAGCTCCCTCCCTCCCTCCCTCCGCTCACTGTTTATAGCTGCGGAGCCCAGAGCCCACTTAACCCTCTCCTCTCTGTCCACAGAAGCCAGGTCCTGCTGCTCTGAGGCTGGAGGCAGCTCCTTACAAGCAGGGGCTGGCCTGGGAAGGGGTGGCTCTCCTAGGCCTGCCCACCTGTCCCCCGCAGGCAGCCACTGGCTGATGCACTCAACAAGACCAGCTGGATTTGAGCGATGTCCTCTGCTTGTCCTGCAAAAAACCCACTGTCCCCTTTCCTGTCCACCTCTCCAGGGCAAACCCAGGTAAACGCACTCCCATTCCAGACACCACCCCCTCCACGGCCTGGTGGCCTCCAAGAATGATTCTGATGGACACAGGCACAAACCTTCCGGGCTGCAGGCCTGTGCTGAGAGCAGCATTCTGTGTGTGTTTCTTTGGGCTACTTTCTGTGAAAACTTTCCACTTCCTTCAGCTGCCTTCCCACGATGCAGCATGCTGACTTCTAGAACCCCGCGGGGTTAGTGGCAGCACATCTCCATTGGGCCAAGGAGGAACTTCTGCCGAGTTTATCGAGGGCTTTCCACTGTTCTAAGCAACAGCTCTGCCCTCTAGGGCTCCTGTTAGCCTCGTCCTACAGAGGAGGAAGCAGGTGTGAAGTCACTTACCCAATGTTACAGAGCTAATAAACAGCAGAGATTTGACCCAAGCGTTCCGGCTGCAGTCTGGCTCTCTGTCCCTGTGCTCAAGGTCTCACAGCCAGAGGTGGTTTCTGCTCTGGCACCGGGGCCTTTCCCGGCTTTCTCAAGCTTAGGATAATCTCACGAACACATTCAGAGGTCCCAAAGCCCAAGGACTTTTTTTCTAAGGGAAGAGGACCCTATTACAGTTTACCAAAGAGCTTAAAAAACATACATGACCCAGTTTTTACGTCATAGTATAAGACAGGAGAGAGGACAGTGATGTCTGCGGAATATGCCTTGTTTAAACTCATGGCAAGGCTTCTATTGTGAAGACTTTCCTTGTGCTCCCATCATCCCAATATTGTTTTTTGCCCCCTAGATGCCACCTCTACCAATTAAACCATCTGTCACAAGATTTGGGAAGGGTTCAAATCTCTTCAGTATTCCTCAGACACATTTGCCACTGTTTAATTTCAGTGGTACCCCCCTCCCGCCCCAGTATTAGAGGTGGAACCCTGGGCCTTTACGCTGAACAAAATCCCCAGTCCCTTTTTACATTTTATTTTGAGACATGGTCTTGCGAAGTGGCTAAGTTACAGAGTGCTGAGACTACAGGGTGAGTCACTGTGCTTGACTTAGTGGTAACTTGTTTTTTGTAACTTTTTTTTAACTTGGGACAGTGAGGTTTGTTCATGGTCTCTACTTGGTGGGCTTACTTACAGCTGGTTTCCTGAAGGATTTTTTGAGAACTTTGCAGCTTTGTCTTGGGCCCTCCTGCATTCTGTTTCATCCTAGGGGCAGAGGCATGTGAGGGGGGCCTGCTGTGGCCTTCCAGCCAGCCCCGTCCAGGTTCCTGCACAGAGGTGATGTGATCCCTCTGTGCCCAGCAGTAGGCCTCAGAGCCAGTACCCCAATGCTCAGCTTGGCTGCTGTGTCAGCAATCTGGATGACTTTTGCTTAAATTCTGTCCCCTCATGTCTTGACAACCATGAGTCCCTCACCTGAAGTCACAAACACCCCCTGTGGTTGAAATTTGTCTCAGAGGAAGCCAATCATCACCTGACGTGTGGCAACTGGCCGGGCAGGCTCCTGCCTCTCCCGGGATGCCCTCCTCTGCATGCCATGGTAACAGACTGGCAAGTGTGTCCCTGGCTGGGTCACCTTGCCCATTGTTTGGCAGGTCCTAGTCAGTGTCTGGAGGCCAACACTTACTGCTTGCCTGTAACTCGCTTGTTTTGTGGAGCTATTGCTGAACACAGGGCCGGCTGTTCTGTTGGTGAACCCCAAACCCCAAATTTGGGAATGAGTTGATCTGTCTGGGTCTACTTTCTCGGGGAAAGGGTGTGTTTTGCCACTCAAAGCCATGGGTTGGTAGGGAGGTCCCCAATCATCGTCACCTCATTTGGCCAGAGAGAAGCTGTGTGTTCCACCCCAGGTGGCCTGTTCCTCTGGAGCAGCAACTCCTCAGGGAAGTCAACAGCCACGGCTTCTCTGAACCTGGCAAGATTCCTGGCCCAAAAAGTTTTCAGAGTAGTGTGTTTTGATTTTTATTTAATTTTGATGTTTAAGAAGAATGTCTGGCTGGCTATGGTGGTACATGCCTATAATTTCAGCATTCTGGGAAGCTGAGGCAGGAGGGCTGCAAGTTTGAGCCAGCCTGGGCAACTTCGTGACTCAGCAAAACCCTGTCTCAAACATAAAAGGGCAAAGGGTTTGCTCCATAAGAATGCCCTCGGTTTAATCCCCAGTACTGCCAGAGAGGGGATAAGAGAGAGAAGGGAGAGGGAAAAAGGAAGAAAAGCATTTACAATTCAGAGTCCATCATGTGGGGTGCTCTGTACTGTGTTCCTCAGAGGCTAGGGCTGTAGTCTGCAAAGAGCCTTGTCAGCCCCAGGGAGCAGCGCTTAGTAGGGGTAGGCACCGACACATGAATCTACCCTCACCTAGCAGTGGGGTCCTATGATTCTTCCCTTTTCCAGTGGAGGGAGTAAGGTGAGAAAGGTCGAGGGCTCGCCAACTAGTACATCGGCTTTCTGTGGAAGGGAAGTTCACTGATTTTAAGATGCATTAAAAGGAATTTAGAAGTAATTTTCACTGAGCTCAAAAGCAGTGTAAACGTGGACACCAGGCCGGCTCAAGATTTTTCCCAGGCCAGGAAGCCCCAGAGGGCAGAGCCACACTCTTGGCTTTCACGTAAATACGGGGGTTTAAGGAACTTTCCTGAGCTGGATATGGTGGGTCATTTCTGTAATCCCAGCTACTCAGAGGCTGAGGCAGGAGGCTTGCAAGTTCAAGGCCAGTCCGGGCAACTGAGCAGACCTTGTCTCAAAATAAAATTTAAAAAGGGCTGGGCTCCGGGTGGCGCATGCCTGTAATCCCAGGCTGAGGCAGGAGGATTAGGGTGAGTTTGAGGCCACAAAGGGGCTACAAAGTAAGTTCAAGTCCTGGCTAAACTACATAGCAAAATTCTGCCTAAAAAGAAAAAAATAAATAAAAAAACAGAAAGAGCTGGGGATGTGGTTCAGCAGAGGAGCACTTGCCTAGCACGTGTGAGGCCCTTGGTTCAACCTGCAGCACCACAGAAAGAAAGAAAAAGCTTTCCTGCACCCTAGTGGCGTCTGTCCTGTCTCTCCCTCCTAACCGGGCTGTACAGCGTCATCTGGACTCCTGCCTTCAGGAATCAAGATATTGTGTTGCAAAAACCAGGAAGACCAGAAACATTAAAACTGTTTCAGTTTCCATGAACTGAAAACCTTTTTATTAAGATTTTAAACATGATGAACTCCAGGCCCCAGCACCAGCAACCTCCACCGTGAAGCTGCTGCTGGTAAAAGTATTTTGCTTTTGTTGTTGTTTGTTTTCTCTTGCATTGCAGCCTAGAGCTCCATCACTGAGCTACACCCATGACCCCTCTCCTATACTACTTTTTGTTGTTGTTGTTGTTGTTTTTTTTTGCAGTAGCGTGTTGTTATCTTTTTGAGACAGGGTCTCACTATGCAGTTCAGGCGGGCCTGGAGCTCACTTTGTAGCCCAGGCTGGTCTTGAACTTGCAACGACCCTCCTGTCTCAGCCTCCCGAGTGCGGGTGCTACCACACCTGGCCTTCCTGTACTATTTTAAAGTAATTCCTGTAGCAGAGCACATCAATTTGCTATCAGTATTTTAGTATGTATCTCTAAAGATCAGGCTCATTACATTCAGCCATATTATTTCACCTAAAAATTACTCATGTCCCTTAAACATTAAAAATCATCTGTTAGTGTTCAAATTTCCAGAACAGTTTTTGAACTCTGCTCTTCTATTTGTTCAAAGAAAAAAAAAAAGCTCTAAAATAAGAATTTTTCAGCCTTTAGTCATATTCTCACAGTGTAGCTCATAGACTGGCAGATTTTTGAATTTGGGCAACAATGCCTGATTTTCGAGTCTCTGAGGGCAGCCGTGTCTTCAGCAGATCGCTCTGGCCGCAGCTCTGTGTATCGGGTGCGAGGTCAGACTGTATTGAGTTCCGCGTGGGCAGGAACACAGGCCGGGGAGGGGTGCAGCTGCACTGAGCTAATGAGGGGAGACTGGGGCGAAGCCCCCTGTGTCCTCCCACCCACACAGATGCCTAGCTGCAAGGGGCTGTCCTTGGCTTTCCTACCCAATGCTCTGCCCACCAGCTGCCTGGGACTCCCCTGGGACCCTCTTCTCTCTCTGGCTTGGGATACTTGACTACGCTCCAGTGGCTCCATGGAATCCTACTTCGTGGGGCCTCCAGCTTCCTTCTTGGTCTTGCCAATTGCTGTTTAACACACAACAAAAGTTGACTGGGTTGCGGGGGCGGGGTGTGCACTCCTCAGACGGTGTGCCAAGCGCTTCACTCATCTGTCCTCACAGCGATCCCAAGAGACCAGTGCCGTGGTTACTGTCATTCACGGACAGGATGGGAGGGCAGGTAGGGGCCTTGCCCACCTTGGAGCTGGTCCTGTTAAGATCTGAATGCGGTCAGCCTGCACATGAGCTGCTGCCTGTGGCATAACGATCCCCCAGTGTTTCAGAACCTTGTTTAAGGATCTGCGAGGCAACTTGGTCTAGGACCAGTTCCTTTTCTTTGAAGGACAAATCATGACAAGTTGAAATCTGCAGTCACAGTGCATTTTTTGCCCCGTTTGCATCTTCCAGAATGGAGACAGCAAGACTTACACACACCCTTCTTAGGAGATTAGCTCAGTAGAATGGAATAAATTTTAGGTCATTCAGCCTCTGATTTCCTGGTTTGTCTTTTTTCATGGTTAACTAATACTTGAGTCAAGGATTATGAGACTGACAGGTCTGAATGTTAGCAGGGCTGGGAAGAAGCTGGGTTGTGTGCGGCCACGACCCAGATATTATCCCTTCTGTGCTTTTCCCATCTCCTGGGTTCTGATAGAAAAAAACCATGACTTGGAATGTACAGAATCAGGGTCCATTACTTGAGAATTCTTGGAGGGAGGTTTCACATGGACTGTGCTTTCTTTATCCCTGTTGATCAGAATTCAGCCTGTGTGGCTTCACCTTGGCTGCACTGTGGAGGGTGACTGTTACGTGGCTTCGTGAGCCCCCTGTGTATGAGGAGCCTGTCTCACCCACGGACGACAGCCTGGGCATGCCGAAGCTGTCAAACCCACCCTCGTTTTTACCTCCTTTGCTTCTCTTCTCTTCCATGTCTTGGTTTGTTTCAGCTTTCTCCCAGCTCCTGCTGCCCTAGGGAGACAAAAGAGTAGGTAGAGGTGGGTTTGTTAAGCACAGAAATTGGAAAAACCAAGGCAGACACAGAAGAGAGGCTCTGACAGACCCTCGGAAGGAAAAGAGGCAATAGCATGAAGGGTGAACTTCCAAAAACTGTCTGCCAACCATGGCAAGGGGAAAATGAGCTATCTTTAGGTCCCCCCTTGGGAGGGCCTGGAAATTCATTTAAATCCTCTTAAGTTGCACTGCTGGGAATTTCCTGGCTTTGCCTAGAGGTGGCATGCCAATTCCTCGTGAGCCCCTACTTTTCCAGGTGTGGGGGATGTGTGTGTGCGGCATGTGTGTGGAGTGTGTGTGCAGGTTAGGCCAGCCCTGGCACACAGAGGTGGCTGGGATGCACCTCTGCCTGGAAGATCCAAGCTCTACTCCGGATACTTCTTCAGGGACAAGGCTGCTCAGTCTCCAGTGAGGCCTCCATGGGGCACCATGATGGAAGCTGACACATTCGGGGTGACAAGGACTGATTTTGGGGCCTTGTTCCAGGAAGACGAGCCCTCACTTCTGCACATTCTAATGGCAAGGGTGAGCTGGGAGGACTGTAGGAAGAATGAAGGCAAGAAGCAAGCTCACTTTGCAGAGGCTGGCCTTGCTCGGTGTTTGGAAGAGTCTGGAATCCACAGAACGGTGTTAAGACTCAGCTGCGGCCATCCAGAACATCGCTGGGTATCCGGCTGAGGATCAGCGCCACAGCTCCAAACTCACTGCCGCGTCTTCTTTTCTTCTGGGTCTCTTTAAAAATTCTTTTTCGGATGGTTTGCTTTTACACTCTTTTCTCCTTTCAGAATAACTGTCCCCCTTCTTCATCATTCTCAATTCCCTTCCTTACCTCCACTTTTTTAGCATAATTTTTTCTTTATGCCTGTCTTGTTTTATATTTAGATTCCTAAATGATTTGCCAGTTTTTAAAATTTCTCTCCTCTTAGTTTTCTTTCCTTTTCCTCCCTCCCTTTCCCTTCCCTCTCCTTTGATGCTAGGAATCCATCTCCCATTCTGTTTTCTGTTGCTTTTTTCCCCATCTCCAACTTCAATTCTTTTCCCTATAGCTTTCCTTGGGCCATGTGGCTTTTATTCTTGTTCATCTGCTTAAGCAGTGCTGGCAGGGAGGAGGCCACAGCCGGCAGGCAGAGCTGTGGTGGCAGAGGAGGTCTTGGGTGCCTAAAGATGCTCCTCCCAGGCCTGGTGCCCTGGAAGAGGAGCTCCTCCGGGAAGGGCTGGGCCTGGGGCAGATGGTGTGTCCTCCTCAGTGTGTGGGCCTCGGTCCCACTGCTGGGGAGGCAGTGGGATCTGTCCTCTGGCTGGCTGGGTGGGGGTGACCAGGCTCTACCTGGAAGGTGGGCACTCCGGGGACGCACATCACGGGATGTGTCACTTGCACAGCTCCTTGCTGGGAGGAGGGAGGAGTGGCAGCATGAGATCTGCTTCTCGGAGTAGTCTGGGTATCTTTGCCTCCTGCTCTGAGGTGGAAGTTGGCCCACCATCCAGATCTATCTTCTGGGGATACAGCAGCTATTTTCCAGTAAAAAGTCTTTTTTTCCCTGAAGTCCCCACGCTTGGCCAGTGGGCACTGAGGTTCAGGGGGAATGCCAGAAGAGGCTAATACCTGTGGGGTATCTGAAAGGCACTGGCCACTGGGAGCAACACAAACCCCACCTGCAGGAGGCCCCGTGGGCCACCCCTGGTACTGACGGAGACAGGTGGCGCGTCTTGATGGGTGCTGTAGCGGAGAAATCCTAGACGTGAAAACTGCACTCTTCGTCTGGAGCGGCGGGGGAGTGGCCTAGGCCCTGTTCCCCAGCTGTCCGAGGCAAATCGACTGGAGTCCATCTGGCCGTCCGCACCAGCCCAGGCTTGCTTCCCATCCTGGGCCCTCAATGCTATTGGGCCCTGGCTTAGTCCGCAGCAGGCCCAGCCTGGGGGTGTGACTGGACCAGCGCTGGGCTGTACTGGGGGAGGAGGACCCAGGCGCACCCACTGGGCGGGCACCGCTGGACTACCCTGTGGTGATGGTGAGCCTGTGCTTCTCTGGAAGCACCGAGGGCCACTGCCACGGCACACCTGGCGCTCTTCCACATCCCACGTTCCAGCATCATCGTCTGTGTGCAATGTTCTCTGCACTTTAGAAGGTACTACTGCTTAAAAATCTTTAAAGGTATCTTTTTTGCTTATATTTTGTGAGCCATCATCTTTGGATTCCAACTCTTGGGGTCTGATAAACCCTTAAGGATACTACGACCATAAGCCTCAAGGGTCCGAGGCCCTGTAGACTTGGCTTGTGTCTGAGTCAAGGCACAGCCTCCTTCCCTGTACCCATATATTTACATCGATATAAAATACTGTAGCTCGCACAGTCAACAGAAGCAATGATCAGAGCGCAGGTGATACATTTTCCGCCGACTGTGTCCCTCACTCCAGCCTCCTGGACGTGGGAATGCAGGTGGGGATTAGGACCCCAGCAGCCTCTCGCTCCACCCCACACAAGCGCCTCGCCCTCGGCGGAGCCCAAAGCGCAGGCTCCTCCAATCTGTCCGCGGCAGCGTCTGCGCCTCTGCGTTCCTGCCGCTTCTCCCGCCTTGCCTCTTCCCACACACCACTCTGTATAAATATTTACACCCCCGGGGCTGGCAGGAATCTTTCTCCAGCTGCTTCCCCGGTCCCTGTGCGAGCTTGTTCTCTCACCCAGCAGCTGCAGCAGATCTGGTTGCCTTTAGTCAGACAAGGGCAGGCCCTGGTTTGGGGGCCCGCAGTCCCCCCAGGGTGGAGGGCGCAGTTGGCGGGAGAAACTCAGCACGAAAGGTCACAGGACCACGGCAAAGGTCCAGCTGCTCTGTGCCGGCTGTCCCGAGCGACTCTCCAAGGGCTGTCGATCCCTGCTCGGGCCAGGGAGTTCCTGCTTATCCAAGGAAAGGCTCTCCAGCACGGGTCTGCCCTGCCCCAGCCTTGCCACAGTAACGGGGGACAATTCCGGAGCAAACAGGCTGATGGTGGGACAGACGGGTAGCTGGTTTCTTTGTGAGCACTTTACGATAGTATTTGTGATACTCTTGATCTGTCCTGAACACAATCCCGCAGTGCAGGGCAAGAACTAACTGGAGCTGGAGCTCAGTGGCACAGCGCTTGCCTGGTGTGTGCGAGGCCCGGGTTCCATCTCCCACGCCACAGATAACGACAACAAGCAGCCCTAGCAGAATCCCCCTGCTGGGCCCTTTCCTGTCCATGCCACTTCCACAGTCTCCACTCCGTCTCCCCTCAGGGTGGGTAGAGAAGGAAAACACAGCACAGATGCTCCAGCGCCTCTTCCTCGGTCGCCCAGGGAGTGGGAGTTGGCCAAGGAGCCAAACTGGCACTTGGGGTCCCATGCCCAGGCACTGTGTGAGGTGCAGGCCCGTATCTAAGTGGCGGATTTCTGAGATGCCTTGTGTATGCCTGCGCTGCCCACCTCCGAGATCTGACGCCAGAGCAGCACGTTCTGGACAAAGCTCTGTCTTCCTCAGTGCCTTGCTCCTTCCAGTAGAGCCCGAGACCTCCGAGAGCCCGGCCAAGGCTGGACTGCGATATCTTCTATCCCCAGTGGGCACAGGCCACATGCTGTTGCCTCCTTGCCCCAAGCCTCAGTTTCCCCCATGTGAGTTGCATTAAGTATTCCAAATTCAAGAATTTGGTTTAAAAAAAAAGCAATACAGTGGTTCCATTTCAAATTCTTTGTCTATTACTAGGTCAGGCACGTAACAGAAAAGACTGGTCAGGTATCAATCAGGCAGTGAGAGGAATGTGAGCTCAATGCTTTGGGGAGGCTGGCAGGGTTCAAATGGCTGTTGCTAGCCAACCAGCCCTGAAGTTCAAGCATGGACTCGAGGGGGTGGATATTCAGGACTGGGGAGGGGGCTCGGACGGGGACCAGGGACAAAGTTCTAGTCTCCTTGGACCTGTGAGTGTGCCAGAAAGCAAGCAGACTTCTCTCTCTTTCTTCCCCGTCTCCCTTCCTTGGAATGGGAGAAAAGCTGATGCCAGGCTGTGACTGCAGAGAGACCTGGCACAGGGCAGGATAGCGCACCCCTCACCTGCACCAAGGTGAGATGGGAGAGAGGGCCGGCTGTGACTCCACATCCCCCGTGCCCAGGAAATGTGTAGGGAGAAAGGTAGAAACTGCAGCTCAGAAGGTGCAAAATATTCCTGCTTCCTGCCTGCTTCTCCAGACCCTGAAAGTAAAACAAAACCTAAATAAAAGCTGGGCTTGGCAGATATTAATACTCCAGAGCCAGTGCTGATGAGCACACAGCCACCCCTCCTTCCCCTTCTGTTTCTATAAGTGGCTGAAATAAATTTAGCAAAACAACCCCACCCGTCGGAGGGCCCAAGATTTCAGAGCAGTGGGATTCTTTACCCAGAAAGCCCCTGTTTTTCAGAGTGGAGAGCTTTTTGTTTAAATTCCCTTTAGGCATGGAATGCTCTCGATCTAAAGTAATTATTTTTACTGCGGTCATCTATTTCTCACAGATAAATGCTTTGACACAGCTAGGCTTGCTAGAAAGCTGATCTATAAACGCTCTGCAGCTTAAAATAGTCAACTCTCTGGGGCCAATGCCTAGCTGGAGCTGTTGGAATATTTATTATAAGATTATTTTTCATGATGTCTGCGCATGTTCTGCAGGTCCTCTGTTGTCTGTCAGATAGGACAGTGGTTGTAGCTGGATAAATGAACAGAGTAAACAAATATTAAATCTTTACCTTTTTCCCCTGTGAGTACTTACTGAAGACACAGTATGTGCTAGGCACTATGCCAACCACCGGGGGCTGAACCGGGAACAGAGAGGTCCGCTTTTCACTGAGCTTGTGTCCTGGATGGAAAAGAGATGTTAAAAAATTAAATGAATACAAAAACTGGCAATGAATAGTATTTAACTTAATGGTGGAAGACAGAACACTTTACCCCTAGGACTGGAAACAAAGTGAGGGCATATCCTCCTTACCACACTTGTTCACCGTCAGTAATGAATACCATTAGAAAGAAACTGTTACATTTATTTGCAGGTAACATGCTTGTTCATGTTAAAAACAACAAGAGAATTCCCAAGGAACCTACCAAAAAGCCCCATCTACAACTTAAGTGGCTCTTATAAGACCAAAGAGGCAAAACACAATAATCAGCTACATTTCTATAAACTCAGAAATGAACAATTTGAAGCTAAGATTAAAAAAATTATAGTAGGCTGGGCATGGTAGCACATGCCTGTAATCCCAGCACTTTGGGAGGCTGAAGCAGGAGGACTGAAAATTCTAGCCCAGCTGGAGCAGTTTAGTAATTTAGTGAAATCCTGTTTTAAAAATACCTTTAAAAAAAAAAAAAAAAGGGCAGGAATGTAGCTCAGTGCAAAGGCACTGAGGTTAAAAAAAAAAAAGTTCCTAAAAATAGGTTTTTACTTCATGTATAAATATGGGCTGTAAGTACCAAAAGCTATAAAACATTGACTAAAGAAATCAAAGAGCGGGGGCTGGGGATTTAGCTCAGCGGCAAAAGCGCCTGCCTGGCAAGCACAAGGTCGTGAGTTTGGTTCCTGGTACCGGAGAAAAACCAAAAAAACAAAACCAAAAAAAAAAAAGAAATCAAAGAGGGGGGCTGGGGTTTTAGCTCGGTTGTAGTCCGTGTTTAGAATGCATGAGGCCCTGGGGTCATTCTCCAGTACATTTCTCCACCAAATCATCAAAGGCGGCCTAAACAAATAGATATATCATGTTCATAGATTAGAATACTCAACCTAATAAAGATGTCATTTTTCCCTGAATTGAGTTAATGCACTTCCAATAAAAATCTCAGCAGGATTTTTCCCCCTGGTTGTGCTGAAGGTCAAATTCAAGGCCTTCTACATGCCATGCTCTACTACTCAGCTACATGTGTACCCCCAAGCAAATTTCTCTGGTAGAACTAGAAAAGGTGATTCTGAAATTTATATAAAAAGGCAAAGGAAGTAGAATAGCTCCAACAATTTCAAAAAAATAGGCAAGAAATTGGAGAAATTATACCACTTAGTTTTAAAATTTACTATACTGTTACACTAATCCCTAGTATATTGGTGAAGGGATGGACAGACACAAAGATCAACAGAACAGAATAAAGAGATCATGCAAACATGGCCACTTGATTTTTAGATGGGTAGAAAATTTAATGAAGAAATAAAAGACTTCAACAAACAGTGCTGGAACTGAACATCCATGACTGAAAAATTATGAACCTCAACATACATCTCACATCTTTGTAAAAATGAACTAAAAATGGGTCACAGATGTACATGTAAAGCATAAAAGCACTAGAAGACTTTGGAAGGTGACAATTTTAGGGGCGGCTTCTGGGATCATGGAAGGGTAGGAAGCTCTAGGAATCTGTTTCCCCTGCAAGCTAACAACTGTTCTAGTAGAACCTTGTCTGATTGACTCTTTTGGAGCTCTGGAGTCTACTGAAGGCCTGGAACTTCCAGGGCGAGGCTGGGACATAAACTGTGGTTAGTTTTGGTTAATTTCAGCTTGGAGCACAGTAGCAGCTTCCCGCCCCATGACAAGCAGCTGTGCACATTCCTGGAGCAGCTTTGCACACAGCTTGTGGCAGCCAGGGTGGCAAAAGGATCCTGTCCTCCAATTATCAGTATCTGGGCTCTGACTGCTAACTCTGATCACAAAGGTGTACGCAGGGATGAAGAGGCCACTGTTGTTGCACCTCTCCCTGTTGTTCAAGCATGTCCTGCAGCTGAAGCGACTCCCGTGGAACTTAAAAGGGCCAGGGTCCTTCCTTTTCTCTCCCACATTCACTTCTCTCTTTTCTGCCACTGTTGGGAGTAAGACATTACAGAATATTAAAAAGCAATTACATATTTGCATCATACAAGGAAAATTAAAGTGCCTGGCAGGGGGGTGGTAGCACATACCTATAATCCCAGCACTTGGGTGGCTGAGACAAGAGGATTACTGGGAGTTCAAGGAGTTCAAAGTGAGTTCATGGCCAGCCTGAACTGCACAGCAAAACCCTGTCTCAAAAAGACAAAAAAAAAGGTGCCTGCATATACCCAGGGAAAGGCTGGTGGTGGGAGGAGGCTGAGAAGACTAAGCTTATACCTCAGGCTGGTCCTCAGCATACAGATAGCTTACAACCAAAACCAAAAACCCAAACAAAAAACAATAACAGACACCATCAAACCTTGGTGAGGGAGAATCTGATTTCCAGTGATCCTGTTATTAAATTGAAATGTCTAGTTTTCAGCAACAACTCTAAGAAATACAAATAAGAAGAAAAGCATGGCCTACTAAAAAACAAAAGACCTGATGGCAGATCTATTAGACAAAGACTTAAAGCAACTGTCTTAGAGATGTGCAGAGAACTCAGAAAAGGTGTGTATACTGTCAAAAGAAACTAAAGTACAAACAAAACAAACATTAAGAGAAACAAGAAGATTATGGGGAACTGAAGAGTACACTAAAATGAAAAAGTCACTAGTAGTATTCAAAGACAATTTTGAGGAGTCAGAAGAGAGAATCAGCAAACTTGGAAGATTAGACAATAGAAATGACAAATCTGAAGAACAGAAAGAAAATAGAAGAAAGGTGAACAAAGTCTAATGGGCCCATGGGACACCAAGTCAACCAACACAAACATTCTAGGAGTCTCAGAAGGACAGGAGAAAGAGAAAGGGAAAGAAGGGATATTTAAAGAAATAATGCCTGGGGGATGGGGATTTAGCTCAGGGGCAAAGTGCCTGCCTGGCAAGCGCAAGGTCATGAGTTCGATTCCTGGTACTGGAAGAAAAACAAAACAAAACAAAAATT